TCCCACCCAACAAGGTGGAGGGCAGGAGGGTTTCTCAAAACAGCCAATATTGCCTCTGGGGCTGAAAGGGACCTAGGACTTTACATAGGCCATGGTTGTGCGGAGGGAGGGGAAAGGGACCTGCCCAAGGTCACCCAGCAAATCCGCGGTCTGCCACCCTGCCACAGCTCCAGTGCTGAAACCAGCCCTGCCTTCGGGCCCCTGCCTCCCCTGAGAGCTTGTCAGGAATTTTCCACAGCTGCCCAGGGTCGGTGTGCAGGGATGCGGTGAGAGGGTGCCGGCTGGCTGTGATATTTTCGCCAGTCAAGTGGCAGTTTAAGAGCAAACTGGTGATAAGATCTATTCCCCGGTCCCCAGGGCAGGGAATGAGTAAGCGGCTGGGAAGGGCCTGCAGGGCAGGTGGGCGATTGACCCTGACTGGAGTCCTGGCCTTGAAGCCGTCAGCCCCAGCTGGCATGGGGGCTGGAGTTCCACAGTCCCGCGGATGCCTCCTTCCGTGAGGGGCTGGTTCCAGGAAACTGTGTCATTGAGAGGAACTTAGAGAAGATTCTTTTGAAAAGATTAACACGTACGATGAATACACAATGTTGCCGAAAGCTCCACGGTAGTCCTGACTTTGGGGCTTGTCACCGAGGTCCCGTGAGCCTCAGCTCACCTCTTCACGTCCAGCTCGAGGCAGACCCCTGAGCTGGGAGGGCCCCGTGGAGCTGCCCTCACCTGGGCCCCCTCCCAGGATAATTCTGCGTGCCAAAGGCTTCCATGGCAGCCACTCTCCCCGCCTGGTTCCACGTCCATCACTACACGTTCAACGAGCACCTGCGGAGTGCCTGACCTGGGCCATTCTGGCTGCCTGGATCCTCACTGAACAGCCCAGGGCCAGGTCTCTGCCTCGTGGGCTGACACGCTGGCCCGTTCCCCAGAAAAATGCTCTGTGATTTTTTTTTTAAGTTCTCTCTCTTTTTTTTTTTCTAGGTTTTTGCCATAGGGCATGTGCACTCTCCAGAGAGAGAGAGAGACAGACAGAGACAGAGAGGGAAAGTGAGAAATCACCCTCAAGGGGAATGGCCACACCACAATCCCTTCTCCATTCTCCTCCTGAGATTTTGGGCACTCACGCACAAGCATCCGACATGATTCTTAACCACCACGCCACCTGCTGGCTCCTTGTCTATGATCGTGTGGGCTCTGCCCTCTTCTTTGAGGGACTCCCTAATAACCTGCTGCTCTGATCCAGTCTGGGTGTTCCCCTCTGCCCCTTCTCTGGTCCTGCAGCTGGGCACACCTGACCTGGGCCGCTGCGAGTAGGGAGCCAGGGTCAGCAAGGAGAAAGAGCCAAGTCGGCCAGCCTCTCTGTAAGTTCCCTGTTGATGGGTGTTGACTCACCGATGGTATTCATAGACCCCTGAGGACTGCGAGCACCTTGAGGTGCTATGGGAACCAGGGAGAGCTCTGAGGACCTATGGGAGAGGCAGGGCTAGGGCGGAAGAGAGGTCCATTAGTGTCCTTCTCTGTCCCTGTCCCTGCAGAGGATGACTGTAGCCTGAGGATAAGCCAAGCTCAGAGCTGGCAGTGAACTTGGCCTCCATCCATTCCTGCCTCTGGGGCAAGCAACTCGTCCTCTGAGACTCAGGTCCGAGATCTCCTCCTCCAGGAAGCCTTCCCTGGATACCCACACTGACCCTCCTCCAGGAGCCATCTTCCATTGCTTCCCTCCCCGCACAGCTGCATGAGTCTGTTTCCGTGCTGTCCCCTCCAACCAGCAGCACCGTGAGTGCAGGCCGGGCCTGTGTCTGTGCCCTTACCACCACCACCGTGGCATGCTGGGAGGTCAGAAAAGGTTTGCTGGGTGAACGAGTGGCTGAAGTGGGAACTCAGCAGAGCTGACAGAAGTCAGTGATGCCTGTGCGCCGTGAGGCCACTCGGCCCCAGAAGCCGCTTCTGAGCAGGTAAACGGGAGGGCATTGGTCAGGAGTCTCTGGGGCCAGCCGGTCCCTATGGGCAGAGGACAGGAAGCAGGACCGGGCAGAGGCAGAAGGGGCTGCCGTGTGGACTCCAAGTCCCTGCTGACCTGGGAACTCTGGAGCTGGGTGGCCCTTCTACCCCACACCCATCAGCCGTCGGATGCTCACACCTTGGGGGAAAGTGACCACAGGCCGACAGGAGAGCCCTCGCAGCAACCGGGGGAACGTGACCTTCATTTCCGGCAGCCCACCAGCAACCACCCCTTTCACCCTCTCAACTTGGATTCCAGCCACCATGCCTGCTATGGCTTAGTGCTTCTGGTGACCAGAGGGTGCCCACTGCCACTGTGCATTCGAGGTGTGGCCTTGGGCTGCTGGCAAGACTGGCTCCTGATCCAGCCCAGCCATGGGACGGGGTCTTCCTGTAAGAATGGCAGGGAAGCTGTCTGGGCAATTCTGGGGAGGGGGGTGCTGGATCCCTGGCTCTGTTACCCAGAGGCCCTCAGGTGAGCTGGGGAAGACTGGGAACATGTCGTCCTCCTGTGGGATGACACTGACTTACCCTGTTGGCCACGTGCAGGCCACGAGCCTGGCACAAGCCAGGGGGGCCTGTCAGTCATTAGTGGCTGTAGATCCTGTTCTGGTCGGCTGAGCTCTGGCTTGGGGCTCCTTGTATGTCTTGAGAGGTGTCTGGAAGGACACCCAGACACTGGGAGACACGTCAGACCAAGAGAAACATCCTTTTTAAATGTCGAACTATTTATCCATTCAAAAATACTAGCTAGATAAAAAACAAAAACATGGGGCAGTCCTATGGCCTAGCAATTAAGGGAGCCAGATCCCACATGGCTGTCCCTGCCTGAAAAA